TGGGGGGGGGGGGTATGTTCGGCGGTGGACCCAGACGTGGGCTGGAAATATTTCCAGTCCACTTCTGGTTCCACCACTGAGGCACACTCTCCTGTGGGATGCTCCATCTGCCCCACCATCTCAGCATTCATGAGCCGCCTGGTACCTTGAGGTATATAGAAAAAACATATAAAGCTGTGTCTATGGCAAAATCATTGAATCTCTCTGAATCAAATCAGAGGCTTACGATTCAATTCAGAGAAATTAATGGGTCTCCTGATTTGTTTTGGATTCAGAGATTCGGCCACCGAATCAGGCCAAATCTTCTCCGAATCAAATCAGCAACCAAAGCTTCACGCAGCCCTAGTAAACATCAATACAGCTGCCCATGGACTCTTGGAATTGGGGCTGGCTAGTTTATGAACGACCAGCTTCAGAAGCATCTAGCTTCAAAGTGCCCATAACTGAAATATGCAGGGTCACCATATGGCCTATTAATACTTTCACAAACACCTGTGCTCTTAACACAACCTAAACAGCAGATGCTAGTCATTTTTCAGTTAGCAGGGCTTTTCAGTCAATCACCTTCTGGAAGTTATTGCTAGTTAGTCTCCAGCTGTAGAAGCAATACCACTAAAAAGATGAAAGATTATCTTAGGACCTTGTAATGCATTAATTGTGGTCAGCTCCTGGAGCTCTCAATGCCTGGATTGTCCATACATTAACAGCTGAATCTAGTTTCAAGCAAGCACTTTATATTGCAGCTCAAAGTTACTCCACTCCAGCACAGAATTATCTCTGATTCATGTTACCTAGCTTGTGTTACACTAATGTGTAGCTACTTTAGGCTACACCTTAGAGTAAACAACCCACCCACCCTTGCTGGCCCAGATTGGGACCACTGCCCCTCCAACCTCCACAGAACCCTAAGTCCCCACTCACTGCTCCCCAGCCTCTCCACACTTACTTGTGACTGCCCATGCTGTCTGTCCCAAGGAAGCAGTCAGGGAAAGATTAACCTGGCTGCTATCACCCCCCTACTGCTCTCTGAGCCGGGCTCAGCTTTGTGAAGAGCAACAGCCTGGCAGTGGCAGGGCTGGGCAGGAAAGTTAACCCTTCCCTGCCTGCTACCCTGTGATAGTATAGGCAGCCACAAGTGCATGGAGCAGGGTGGGGAGAAGGTAAAAAGGGGAACCGCAAAGGGCATAGGGGGAGCCCTGCAGGTGGGGGGAACTAGGAGAGTCCCTTGGGGAAAGGGGGAATCCTGGAATAAGAAGCAGGAATTCTTACCTTTCAGTCCTCCAGAACTCTGCTGGCCTAAATATGTAGCTTCTCCAAACTCAAGCTAGCACTAACACTGGTCAACATTTCTGTGGATCACAGTGGGCACTACTACATGTGTAAATAATTTGGGAGAAGTTTACTCTCAGTAAACTACTCAAGAGTAAACTCTTCTAGGCACATGTCTACATGTGCAAGGATGGACGAGCAGATTTGTTGCTCCTAGCAGCAGACTGACCCCATTCCCTGCAGCCCTGCAATGGACCCTGAAGCAGCCAGGGGGAGCTCTAGGCTTCCCCTGAGTGCTAGCCCAGGGTCCAGGAGACAGCTGTCTCCTGGCAGGAACTGGGACATTGCTCCCTGCCCACCCTGAGCTGCATGTTGCCAGGGTGGGTTATGCCACTGGAGCCCAGATGGGGACAATGCTACCCTAGGGAGCTCCCAGACCCTGCTCTGTGATCATAGGGCCCAGCACCAGCTGTGGTGGCAGAGCCAACCCAAGCAGCAGTCATCTCCCAGGGCAGGGAGCAATCTCCCACCCCCTGCTGCCCATCTGACTGGGAGCACATTTGCTCCCAGCCAAGTGTCTATACATGCACTGCTGGGCAGTAAGTAATCTTAAGTAAATTTGCTACTTGCATTTATAGGTAGCAAATTTACTCACAGTTAGAGCCAATTATTGCACATTAAGTGTCTGCATGTGTAGATGTGCCCAATGTAAAGTGTAACAAGGCCTTACCTACCAAGGATAACTTTATCTATGGAATCCTGTCCACACACAGAAGTTGTATCAGCTTACCTTGAATTTGTTTCAAAAGAAAAACAATTTACAGCTTTGTGTATGAGCACTGTTATATCTGGTTAGTTTGGGACTAACGCAAGCTTAGCCAATATAAGACATTAAATTGCTATGAAATTGTCAGTTCAGTAAATTGGACCACTTGAAATTACATAGACTTAAAATCACCTTTTTTGTTAATGCATATAGATCAGATTTGAATGTGTTGTCTCCACAGAGACATTTAACCCACCCACCCCACTCTTCTCTACTTTGGGAAGCATATCTAAAACAGAAAGTATAGATTACATGCATGCATTTGGTAGCTGGGCATATGACTTCTGCACTGTGGCAAGGCAACATACTTGCAGAGAAAGAAGGAATATTGCTGTCTACACCTTATATTCCACTTATTTAAGATTATAATCTGAGGAAATCTAATTTGGGGTCTAGAAAGCACGTAAACTTTAATAACAATATTTAATTGCAATTTTTATAAGAAAAGCATATACAAATATAACAGTGTTGTAGCTTTAAAAAGTGCTACAATCTATCATTATGGTTCTGCAATATAAATTATGTTCACTTAGGGCAGAGTCCTATTTCATTTATGTACCCAAATGGCACTTACTCACCCCTGTAACTGCAATTTTTTTGCACTTACACATTTTAAGATATGATTTAATGTGTAATGCATATTTATGTGGGCATGTACTTGTGCAAGTGTAAGTCCTGAAATGTAGCTTGGTAAAAACTCATAACACCAGACCACTGATTAGACATTTTACAATCCTTTCTCAAATCCTCATCTAGAAGTGAAACTACTGCACTGTGCATTTATTATTCATTGTATAAGATGCAGAGAGAGAGCAATAGGGAAAATTTTGCCCCAATGGGGTCAAGGGCTCTGTCTAGAGCCCACTGCCTTTCTGTTCCATAGAAACATCCATCTCACTGAATCACACACTTTGTAGCTTGTTTGCTTCTTCCTGGAACCATATATTGCCCTGTCTTGGTTACCCAGGGGGCCAGTTTCAGGAAGGCAATGACCCATGGACAGTGGCCCTGTAGTCTGACACTCAGAGCATAGTGTTCAAATGTCAGACAGCTGTAGGCTCAAACTTCCTTTTTTGACAGGGAAGCATAGAGCCTAGGTCTTCTTCTTCCTTCCTGAATACCTAAACAACTAGGACATAACATAGTTCTTCTATTCCATCTTGTCGCGGACGGGCCCCAAGGTCACGGTTGGCTGGGGTACGGATCGGATCAGGCAGGATTAGCGGCGAGGAGTTAGAGCGG